GGACAAGAATGTCCACGCTTTCCATTCCTGCTCAATACAGTGCTTCAAGACAAGTGAAGGCATTAAAGAGGATGCAGATTGGAAAGGAAGAAGTCAAAGTATCCTTAATTGCAGATGATATGATTCTATATGTAGAAGACCTTAAAGACTTCACCAGAAAACTCATAGAACTGATAAATACATTTAGCAAGTAACAGGATATAAAATTAACACACAAAAAGTAGTAACCTTCCTATATATTCCTATATACTAACAACAAACATACTGAGAAAGAAATCAGGGAAATGCTGCTGTTCAAGATAGCCTCACAAACCACAAAATATCTTGGACTAAATCTAACCAAAGAAATGGAATACTTGTATCATAAAAACTTTCAGACACTGAAGAGAGAAATTGAACAAGATTCCTGTAGCCTGAAAATGATTTATTCCTCAGACTTCCTCTGAAGAGCCATGAGCGAGTGCAGGGCACTCTGGGAAGAAGGGTGGAGCTTAATAGGGTGGGAGACTGGAAAGAAAGGAGGAGGAATTGGCACCATTCTGGGAAGTGGGAACAGGGAGGAGGTGAGCCTGCCCTGGCCCCCCTGGAGTGCTGGGGGACCTGCAAGGACCCCGTGGACCTTGCATGGAACTCTATGCGGTGAGTGGGCATGCAGGGATGTGAGACGAAGCAGACCATGGGCAAAAGCAACCCGGAATGGCAGACTGCTGAGCCATGGTTCAGAGCTGGGCACCAGGTGTTTGCTTCTTTCTAAATCATTCCCCTCCCCAACAAAGGTATAAACTATGCGAAATTCAGATAAAGATGTGTTATGTGGTTTGTCTACATGTGTCAGGAGCATGAGACCCTGAAGAGAGTAAGGGTAGGTCAAACAGAGAGCGGGAAGGAGAAAATTTAGTGGGACAATTCCAGAAAATGGAAAGACCTCTGATGCTCATAGATCAGTAGGATCAATATTGTGAAAATGCCATCTGACCAAAAGCAATCTGCAGATTCAGTACAATCCTCATTAAAATTCTAATACAATTCACAGAAATTGGAAAATAATCTCAAATTTTATATGGAAACACTGGCAACACCATCTATGATTTTAAGTTATTCTACAGAGGTATAGTAATAAAACAACAGAACGGTGCTAGTACGAAAACAGACGTATTGATCAATGGAGTAGAACTGAGGACCCAGATTCAAATCCACCCACTTATCGCCACTTGATTTTTCACAAAGGGTTCAAAAACACACATCGAAGAGAAATCAAAATGTTCAATATATGGTCCTGGTCAAACTGGAGAGCTGCATGAAGCAACAACCCTGTCTCTCACTATGCCCAAACCTCAACTCAAAACAGATCAAAGACCTCAACTTAATATTTGGTACATTGAATCAGATAAAGGAGAAAGTAGGGAATACATTAGAATTAGTAAGCACAGAACAGAACTTTCTGGACAGGACCCCAATAGCACTGACATTAAGACAAAAAAAATGACAAACAGGAAATTAAATTTTTGAAATTAAAATTAAAATGCTTCGGAACAGCAACAGAAACTATCATTTCAGAAAAAAAAGGCAATCTACAGAATGGGGAAAATATTTATCAGCTATACATCTGGCAGTAGGTTAGTATCTAGAATATAAAAATAAATAAATTTGGGCAAAGAACTAAACAGAGAAATCACAAATGGTGAACACAAATGGCTGAGAAAAATCTTTAAAGATGTTCAGTGTCATTGACCATCAAGGAAATGCAAATTAAAACTACTCTGATATTTCATCTTACCCTAGTCAGAATGGCAAAGATAAAAAAAAAAAGGTCATTGGGGCTGGAGAGATGGCTCAGTGGTTAAGAGCACTGGTTGCTCTTGCAGAGGACCTGAGTTTGATTCTGAACACACACATGGCAGCTAACAACCATTCATAACCCCAGTTCCAGGGGATCTGATACACTCTTCTAACCTTTACAGGCAATACACTCATACACATAAACAAAAATAATAAATAAAATATTCTTTTAAAAAAGGATGTCAAATGCTGGTGAGGATATGAGGAAAGGGGGACACTTATTCACTGTTAGTGGGACAGCATATAGATACAGCCACTATGAAAATCAGTTTGGAGGTTCTGCCAAAAGCTATAAATAGATCTCCCACATGATCCAGCCATACCACTCTTGGGCATATGCCCAAAGATTTCTATGGATATAATTTCTATGGATATGTTACCAGGATACCTGCTCATTCATATTCATTGCCGTTCTATTCACAATAGCTTGGAAATGGAAACAACCTAGATGTCCAGCAACTGAAGAATGGATAATGGAAGGGTCCAGATTCACACAATGAAATATTATTCCATTGTTAAGAAAAAACAAAATTATGAAACTCACAGGTAAATGAATGGATCTGAAAACAATCAGCCTGAAAGATGTATTCCCAGACCCAGAAAGGCAAATGTCCCTTGTCCTATCTCATAACCTAATCCAAGTTTTGAATCTTTTGATAGATGTGTTTCAATTGAAAAATCCTTAGAGGGTAGGACTTGAGGTGGTGGTTCATAGGAGGAAAGATATAATGCAGTTGTTAAATTGGGAAAGGGGAAAAATGGGGTAACAGGCTTAATGGGGTAGGGAATTGGTGGGTAGGGCAGAAAGGGAGTAAGAGGAGGGATAACTCACACTAAAGGCCTTTGGAAAGAATCATCTGTATAGTTACTGTCGAAGCTTCTTTCAATGAAAATACATAATATAGAGTTTAAGTGGGGCACGTGTGCCTGCTGGCTGGGCAGGGTTGTGCCCAGGGGGAAAAAAATGAAAAAAAAAACAGAGTTTATGCGGAATTACCCTATAAAAGGGATTCAGTGACATTCTTTGGAAGTAGCTTACCTGGAAGTTCCCATAGACCCTCAAAGAATACTGGATATTACCATTGCTCTTAGTTACCTGCCAAGACCCTGTTGCTGAAGATACTACATACTTGAGTCACAGAACAAACAGAGAAATCAGGATGGTACTGACCTGGAAGCCACTTCTCTACTGGCTAGCTTTCAGAGTACTAGAAGGTGCTATACATGTTACTGGCAGAGAAAGGTAATCATCACCACACCTGACTGTGAACTCTGCAAGCTACAATTAAGACAGGCCTAGCAAAATATGCCTATCCAATAGGTCTTTTAAGAAAAGACAAATAATAATAGAGGGCATGAAGCTGGGAGGGTATAGAAAGGTGGGGTAGATGGGGGAATGGGTCTGAATGTGATCAGAATACATTGTGTGGAATCCTAGCACCAATAAAAATATTTTTAAGAGAAAGAATGTTGAGAATTGCATTGAATTCATTTTCCCACTGTTACTGAGTCCACAGTTCCTATCTGGTTGTCTTTGTGAATAGTTACTCTTCCTGGGTCCTGTTTCATTCCTCTTGGTCCCTAAAACACAGAGTTGATTACAGCTCTGTGATATAGCATTGCTTGATGTTGGTTTCTGAAACTGTTTATTCATGTTTTTGAAGGTTTATTCTGATAAATACAGCCCTCTCATCTCTAAAAACAGTGTGAGAGAGGTCATAGATCCTAGAGAAAACCCTAGGTCTGTCACATTCCTAATAAAATGCAATTTCTTACTTTATACTAAATATGGATATTTATATCTGTGGACAAGAATACCATTCGCCACTCATCAAAGAACTTTATTTTGAAATATACAGAGACTATTACACAGTTTCACAACTCGTCATACACAGAGAGTATGTGTCTGAGAGATGACCAGCCCTAAGTGACACATCTACAATGGAACCTCTACACCTAAGGCTCATGGAACAGAGCAGAGTAGGGGGTATAGTGAAATACTAATGCATCCCTCAGCTCCCACCACCGAAGCTTCCTCATACAACAGAGCGCCATGCACACAGAAGGCCACAATTGACCAAGGTATAGACAATAAGAGACTTCAGAGTAAATGACACTGCATAGGACTCTGGTATTAAACCTCACCCATATGACTCAAGGACCATTGTGGAAGATGGGGTGGGAAGAGTGTAAGATCCAGGATTGGTGACAGAATGCACAAGACCCATGCTGAGTCAATCAGACAAAAATCCAGCATAGAACTGGGGAAATGGGCAACAGGTTCCAATCTTAGACAAGGAACTATTGGCAACTGATTACTGCTTGGTAATGGAGAGTAGATCTTATTCATGTAAGTTACTCTAGATAGCCTGACTAGATTCCACTGGATGAAATTGTACCAAGGGACATCTTGGAAGAGATGCTTGACTGAGTAGGCCTAAACATAATACATGAAAGCCAGTAGTGGGGCTATGGGGGAGATGGGAAAGGGGGTCGAAACGTGATTAAGATGTATCATATAAAATGCACAAACATTCAATAAAAATACAAATTTTAAAAGGGCATAAGAAGGGCACAAAGACTCATAGATTCTTCCACACTGTCTGGATGCTCTTCATTACCCACCTGAGACACATCCAAGTACACACGCATGCACACCCACATACTACCTAGGTCATGATAAGGTATTTAATATTTTAAAATTTTTATTTTATGATATGAAGAAATTCAGAAATATCAAAAGATAAAGGACTTAGAATATGGGAAGGATGACAATATCTGTCATTATTAAAAATATATATTAATCTTTATCTTAAAAGGCTTTCTACTTCTTAGAAAGAACTTCCAGATCATGATGGTAAGGTAATGCAAAGGCTGAAGATTGCCACTCATCAGTCACAGAGTATCACTGCCAGAGGGACACATTATGTACACACAAAATAGAAAAAACAGGTCTTCTTTGTGAAAAATGAACCAGAAGGAAGCATATCAGCCTTCCTATTGTTCCATAAATTATTTTCCTTCTACAAAGGAAATGTGGGATAAGAGACAGAGTACATATCCATGAACAAGGCCCAATGATAACAATCTTACCATATCATAAATTCAGAAAGAAGGCTACCCAAAAGTCTTATAACTGGGCAGTCAAAAGGATCTCTGAGTCAGAGGGTGATTCTAAGTCTATGTGAGAAATTCCTCATGGCTACTGTCCTCAGAGCTCCCTTTACATCTTTGTTCCTCAGGCTATAGATGAGGGGATTAAGCATGGGGGCCACCATTGCATAGAAAACAGACACCACTTTCTCTTGCTCTTTGGAAGACTTTGGTGTCATGTAAGTGATAATTCCTGAGCCGTAAAAAAGAATGACAACCATGAGGTGGGAGCCACAGGTTGAAAAAGCCTTGAGCCTCCCTGAAGCTGACTGCATCTTGACCACAGTCACTATGATGCAGCCATAAGACACCAGAATTAGGGAGACAGGTAGGAGGAGAATCACAACCCCCATAAGGAAAATGACCATCTCTGAAGTGTGAGTGTCTATAGATGCCAGAGTCAATAGTGCAGGAGCCTCACAAAAGAAATGAGCGATGCGGTTGCTGCCTCGGTAGGGAAGGTGTAGTGTGAAGGTGGTATCCACCACAGACACTATAATGCCACTGGTCCATGATCCCGTGGCCAGCTGGATGCACACCCTCCAAGTCATGATGCTAGGGTAATGCAGAGGGTTGCAGATGGCCACGTACCGGTCATAGGACATCACTGCCAGAAGAGCACACTGTGTACACCCAAAAATGAGGAAAAGCAGAAGCTGAGCTGCACAGCGTGCAAATGGAATGACCTTTTTCCTTGATAGTAGATGGACAAGGGCCTGAGGAACAATGTTGGTAGAGAAGCAGAGGTCAGCCAGAGACAAGTTGCACAGAAAAAAATACATGGGTGTGTGAAGCCGAGAGTCAGTCTGAACAAGGAATATGAGAAGTAGATTGCCAAGCACAGTGACCAGATAGACACCTAAGAACAAGATGAACAGCAGCTTCTGGGTGTGCAGGTCATCAGAGAGTCCCAAAAGAAGGAATTCTGTCACCTGGGTCTGGTTGGTCTGTCTCATAGCTTGTCTCCTTTATCAGAAAGTCACTATATAATAAACACAGGTGTGCATAACATAGGAAATCATGATATTCAGAGTTTGGGGGGCTGGAGTGTGGCCCCAATCACTAGGACCATTTCAAAACTGCCCTTTACTAGATCTTTAGAACATGGTCATGCAGCTTTAGTTAGAACACTGTCATTCTAAAATAATGCATTATAAGATGGTGTGTTCGTTAGTGGAATTCTCTGGCAACTGTAGAGTAGATCAAAAGAATCATCTTTCTTATTCTTGATATCAGACTTCTCAGGATACAGTGGTGAATCATGGTAATTCAGTTTAATATCAGTGGATTCATCTGTGGCTTATGTCGTACTCATCACACTTCATCTATCCTATGAAGTGTTGGGGTTTTTTAAGATACTTTTGGCATGTTGTATCTTCCCAGACAGAGCAAAGACAAAAGTGTAAGAATTTAAAAAGAGTCAAAGTACATTTTTAAATTCACTTGTTTCTTAGAAAAAAAATCCTGTCTTGAAGGACAACTTCAAAAGGTAACTCTGGATACCCTTTGTCAAGCCTATCTCCAGTGTCAGCCATAACTCCTTAATACCTCAACTGTGAATGAACTTCTAAGATAGTGGGAACATCCTTGCATCAGAACTTCTACTTTAAACCACTGGGTTGGCTGACTTCCTACTCAGGTCTAACGCCCCACCTTGAGCGCATCATCTCTCACTTCCTTCCAATATCTATCATTTCCTCCTCCAAAAGACGAAGGCATCTTCTGAACATGATGCCATCGTCACTGTCCTTTAGGAGACATAGTGTAATATATCCTTCCGTTTATGATTGTGAATTATATTATGCAAACCAAAATAATTTGATCACATAGTTAGAGTTATTACAAGGCATGATAATATTCTCAGAGAGACTTGAATGAATTTAGAATAACAATTTTTCACACTGCTTTTCCAAAAAGTTAGTAAATTTAAAGCAAAAAGTTTGATGTCCTATGTAAGGTTTGAGCTGTCAGTCTTTTGTCAACCAGGCAAAGCTGTTTCAAAATAATGTTTTAAATATACCCAAATAAACGTAGAAATAGTTAACTAAGGAAACTAGTTACATCAAAACACAATGATAAAGATAATTTTAGAAAGCACATATGTAAACAATATATAGGCTTTATTATAATAGGAGTAAATATAATGTATATTTATTAACCCTATAATTTCTTAGGTATAGTGGTGGGTCTAATGAACATCTTCATTTCAAAATAATTATGATTTAAATACATAAATATATCTTCAACAACTACAATGTAGTATAAAAATATTTCTGTCTTCTATTGCTAAAAACATCACAGATATTTCTAATATTGGAGTAAGTTGGCTACCTGTGTTTAGAAGAAAATGTCAAATTCCATTAAAGGGCATTAAAATTTTTTCTAAACTGAAGAATACCTTGTATTTCAGGCTCAAAACAGCTGTAGGAATTTTCCTATAAAACATTGAAAAGACAAAAGTACATCTTATATAATCTAACAACAATGTTATCATCTGAATAGACCTGTGTTTCAAAGTAACTAGAGGTTTCAATTTATACCTGGCCCTCAAAATCAAGTTTGGAAGCAGCATCAGAAAGAAGGCTCCATTGCACTTGAATCACTATTTTTGCTAAAGCTACTTGTGTACTTTGTGTGTAGAAACTCTAAAGCAAACAGCCTGGTACAGACCATCCAACTCTTTATTAGTTATTTTTATGTTGCTGTGAAAAAATGCAAATCAAAAGCCATTTATGGGAGGAAGGGTCTATTCTAGCTGATGGATTTAGGATACAATCCATCATGGCATGGAGGTCATAGGAGGAGGAGTGTGAGATGGTTGGTCACATTACAACCCCAGTCAAGAAGCAGAGAGAGGTGAATATTGGTGCTCAGCTTGCTTCTTCCCTGCATTCAGTCCTGGACCCCATAAAATAATGATGGCCACATTCAAGATGGGCCTTCCCTCCTCAGTTAAACCTTTCTGGATATGTATTTACTGACACAGTGATTTCTAAGTCTAGTCAAGGTGAAACTGAAGATTAACTGTCACAACTACCTAACAAAAGCCCAATATATAACCTTGCCACCCTTACCCATAGCTGATTACTCCCTAGAATTTCTTCCAAATTATCTTTTACCCTTCCCCATTCTAAAAGCTCATCATAATAGACATATATACACACACACATATATATACATACATATACATACATATTCAGATTCACGCTCTCTTAGACATATAAGTATGCCTGCAGTATTATGTAATTATCTCCACAGTAGGTCTGAACAAAATAAATTTTAAAACATTTGCCTTTCTTTTGGTCCATAAGCTGATCAAGGGCAGGACCCACCCTGAAATCATCTATATTCACAGCAAATACAATGGTGGAACATACTAAGAATATAGTATATGTTTCCTGTTCTGATTTGACCTGATGATTGTGAGTCAAAGATGGATAACTATGATTGATGGAATGTGTCTCACTGATTCTGGAGTTACATTATAAGGCAATACTTCAACTTCCCTGATGGTCTTTTAAAATGGTATTACTCATGCAAATGCAGAGCGAATGTTCCCCAGAACCCTGTAAACTTTCCCCAAGCATCAAAACTCACTTTCACTGTCTAGCTTTTGCTGTTTCATGTTGCCTTTTCTGCAGATTTTAGGACAACTTGTGAGCCCATTTCTTTAAAGATAAACATTCCTCCAGTGAATACACCTGCACACACGCATGCACGCACACACGCACGCACACACACACACACAAAAAAAAAAAAAAAACCTGACTCTGTGGAAGTTCTGCTCATGCCTTCATAAAATGAGAAGCAGGATTCTTCCTCTCTGGAAATTTCATATTGTAATAATGGTTTGATAGATAAAACCACTATGGAGAAAAACCTTGGCTTGATATTTCAGAAAACAAGTCATGAAGGTCAAATCTAAGGATATTACCAATATAACTCATTTGCCCTTCTTAGTTCACCTTGGGCTTCGCTTCCTACTCTACTAATTGTGCCAAAATTTTCTGTCATAAATGGGAAACAAATATTAAATTACCATATCAAAAAAGAGTAAGGACATTTCACTCTTAACGGAGAAAGCCATAGAGCAACACCAGCTGCAGCACTAGCCAAGCAGAGGGCACAGGCATCTAGCTGGGAAGGAAGAGAGCCCAACAAATCCTGGAAATTAAGAGCAAGACAAGGCAGGGACGGGAATCCTCACAGTTCTCACATCCTCCTGCTATATCTAAAGGTATTATCAATGACTTCAGAATATACTTTACAACAGCATTTCCTTCTGAAGTGAGGTGAGGTAGGGAGTGTTGATATTACAAGCAGTCTCTGGAGCAGGTACAATACTCAGGAGAATTCGGAATCATTAATGAAAATGTATCCTGAACTGTTTCCTCTCAGAAGTCTCCCAAATGGCCATGAAGCAGACCAAAAAATAACGTAGTTATAATTCCAATCTTGCTTACAGGCCCTATCATAGGTTCTTCTCACGTCTCTGCTTTGGGGAAACATTGTGTTGTTCCAATTAAGAATTTGGTTTCTATAAGAAAAAGTACTAGTTTGAAGATCAGTTCTGGCATAGACTCTCTGTATGAGTTTGGAGAAAGTTCATCATCTGCAGAATGTGAAGGTAACAGGTCTCAGATGACATCAGATGAGTGTGAGTCCCATAATGTCTGCATACAGTAAGAGCTTAATAATGCTATCTCTATTTCTTGTAATCAATGTTAGGGGATTATTGGCAGATAACACATGTTTACGTTATTCTGGAATCCTTCAGAATCTTAAGTTGCTCAAATAAGAGGCTGAAAACTCAGACACAACTGCCGTAACTCCAGTTGCAGAGGAATCTAATGCTCTCTTCTAACCTCTGTGGGCATTGCATGAGACAGGTTGACTTAACACACACGCAAGCAATATACTCACACAAATAAAAATTTTTTAAAGTTGTTTTGTGTGGCTGGAATCCTTCAGAATGTTAAGTTGCCCAATGAGAGGCTGAAAAATCAGATACAAATCAACTGCAAAAATCAGTTAAGATGAATATGTGATGGAATGTTGGGTGTGAGTGAGGAGCAGTAGAGGCTGTGGTCTGAGGTGAGTGTATTCTACTTCTTGTCTCCTCGGGGATGTTCTATGAAGGGATACTGGATTTTGTCAAAAGTCTTTTTCTGCATCTATTGAAATGATCACGTGGTTTCTCTTCTTGAGTACACTGATGTGAGGTGTAATATTTATTGAATTACATATGTTGAGCCATCCCTGAATAACTGGAATGAGACCAGCTCAATCATGATGAGTGTTCCTTTTGATGTGTTCTTGAATTTGGTTTGCAAGTAGTTTATTGAGAACTTTTGCATCTCTATTCACCAGGAAGATGGGTCTATAATTCTCTTTTAAAGTCATGCCATTATCTGATTTTGGTATCAAAGCAACACTGGCTTTGTAATATGAGGTTGGTACTAGTCCCTCCTTTTCCATCTTATGGACTAGCTTATTGGTATTAGTCCTTTAAATTGGTTGTAGAATTCAGCAGCAGATTCATCTGGGCTTGGGCTTTTTTAGTCAGGAGGGTTTTATTTATTTTTTTTAACTTCAGTCACTAGAAACCTGATTAAATTATCATATCTTAGCAGACTCACCCTATTGCAGAGATACTTGTACAACCATGTTTCTTGATGCCCTTTACCCAATAGCTAAGAGATGGAAGTAACCTAAGTGCCCCTCAACTGATGAGTGGTTAATGAAAATGTGGCACGTTCACACAATATTCTACTCAGCAATAAAGAAAGATGAAATAATGAAATTTTCAGGTAAATGGATGGATCTAGAAACTGTTATACTAAGTGAAGTAACACAGACTCGGAAAAACAAAAGAAATATGCTCTCCCTCATTTGTGGATCCAACACCAAATCCTTATAAGTGAGTACATATCCTGACGTAACTGCAGGAACCAGG